ACGTGACTTTCCCCCATTCATTCTCAATTACCCCCCACCAAACTCACCGCACGCATTAGGGGGTCTGTTAAAACTCAATGGGCTCAGGGGAGGCGAGAGAGACGCGGACTCCTGCTGTAACTTTACCAGCTGGTTTCGCTGTTCGACAATGTTTCTTTAGAAAAACGAGTGATTTATACACATTTTAATGTTATATTTTGTAATATTGGCGTTGTTTTATTTTTGCACTATACAAATTCTTTTCTCATCCAATATTTTGAGAAGACACTGCCTCTCTTGCCTCCTCGGAGGAAACGCCCTTGATATATAAATATATATATATATATATATAGATAGATAGATAGATAGATATAGCTGGGATTCAAGAAAGACATTTTCATAACGCAACATCTTAAAATTTTTAAGTTCACTACTGCAATGCAAAAAAATTAAAAAGAATGAAAAATAAATATATTAAAAAAAAAATGTATTTATTAAATGATTTTTTAATTTATGCAATAAAGTAATAATCTATTTAATTATCATTTAATTACATTTATTAAAATATACTTTAAAATAATTATATTAAAATTGCAATTAACTAATTTAAAAACACTTAATTTCAGTACAACCTTGATATGGACAATTGTACCTTACTGAAAAATGTTAGATTATTTCTTCACATTACAAGCTATTGATTATTGGGGAACGCCATATACTTGCATTTCGGGAAAAAAAAAAAAAAAGATATATATTAATGGTACAAAAAACAGGCTTTCTTTTCTTTATTTCAGGGAGAAACCTGTTTTCAACCATTTAACACCTAACTTTCAGCAGAGAGGCACTGAATGGGTTAACGTTGACATAATCCTCACTGGAAACATATTCACCATCATTTCCATAAAAGAGGTTTTGAAAAAATATACCCTGGAAGATTTCTGTAAAGCACGGCAAAGCCAAAGTAAACTTAATTCGTCAAATATTAGTCCAAATACATACTTTCTGCTTGGCAACTGGATAGTAGCGGTGTAAAAAAATGTTTGTTTAATATAAAGTTTTACTACATATACTGTTTGTTTTATTAATGCCAGCCTTAACTGAAAGCAATTAGAGATGAACTGGTCAGGAGAAAGATATAACTCGTAACGTTGATGGGTTGACAGTTAAGGAATCACTTTATTGGTCTTGGCTAACCGTCGCTTAAGAATAAAACTAATAAGCGACTACGCCTTCGGGATTTGGATGAGAATGTACAGATCGATATTTCCCAGGCAGTGAGGAGTTTGTGGTTTTCTTTGGCTGCATGCTGAAAGCGATCACAGAGCGTGTCAGAGTTTGGAGAGACTGAATCATCATATTTACTGGGTAGAGGAAAGAATCTGGGCCAAATACTATACACTTGAGCTGGGACGTGTTCAACAAAAACACACAACTGAAAATAGAGAATATGAGCGTGCTGCCAACGGTGACCAGCGGGAAAAAACCCAATATAGCTCAAATCTATAACCCCTTCAATAACGTCCAGAAGCCGAATTAAATTCAGTGACTACTGACGTCTACAGTCTAATAATGACCCCTGGTGCTAATATCACAGATACTAACGTTTTATTCCACATATAAACGCCCACATTATGCTGTAAAATCTGTTCAGATGTGCACTGTAGGCTGATGATGTACAGATTGTACATGTATATTATGAATACAGTGTTTCTCAATAGCTCACTGACCCGCTGCTATTTTATATTTTAACTGTAGTCTAAATTTAATGACAAGAGACTAAATAAAACTAAAGCTTTCTTTATGATTTCTTTAACACAACTTTCTTTTGCCTTGTGCTTAGTTGCACACAACAGCAATTGCATTCAACTAATTCTCATTTTCAAATGGAAATGAATCATTCAAACTATTTTAGTCTGAATCATTTGGACATTTATGGCGCTTTTCCACTGCGTGGTACGACTCGGCTCGGTACGGCTCAGTACGGCACGGC